TCGCGTACCGCAACCAAGCGAATAAAAGGTTTAATATGGCATGCCTTCCTGTAACGCGATCGTTCGGTTAAAGGCCACTAATGAATCGATCGCGGATCGGGATGCCCCTCACTCTCCTCGAGGAACTCGTTCTCCCGGGGGTCCCTGTGATTAACGGCCGTACCCTCAATGATAGCAAGCAGCGGCTCATTCCTCTCTGGATCTCTTACCATCTTTGTCCTTCTTTCTTTCGAATGGTTTCCTCCTCTCCTTTTCACTTACCTTCTATTGCGTCCTCTTCTTTCTATCAATTTCTTTTTCTCTCTTTTCTCGGTTCCTTCAACTTCAACCATCCTCCATCTCTCCCTCTCCCTCGATGCCAGAGGAATACTGGTTTCGTGGAAACTCATTCCCCTGTTATTTCGTCGTTGTTCTTGCAATTAACCGGCATTTTCTTTTATCCACAGTCGATAGATCGGGAACCGGGCAGTCTGGAAGCTCGCCGAGGGTGACGCTTCGGCTCAACCAGGTGCGAGGAGCGAGGGATGAAAAGAAAGGAGGGGGTGCTACTAACTCCCGTCAAGGCGGCATAAACGCACAGGTATACATATGTACATACGTGAATATGTACCGGGGTATACCGGTATTGATGGTAATCGGCAACAAGGTGATTGATTCTGTATATATGCGGGAATACAAATAGAAAATATAGAATAAGATATAACGCTTCGTTTAAAGCGAGTTTGTAGATTTATCGAGTATAGTTGAACTTGGCTGATTGAATCGGATGAGACAGAAGTAAATAATCGATAGGAGTTATTGTATCTGTGAAAACGAGTCGAAAATGTAGAATAAAATTTGTTCATAAGACTCTTTGTTTCAGAGACACATAAATTTGAAAATTTATCAGACGTGCGTACTGGGCCAATTCTTAATTGAATATGCTTTATTTTGAGCTTTATTTTGTTGAAAATGAGACCTTAAATCGAGAAATTGTATCCCAAAATTTTTACACATTTTCACATGTAGAACAATCTTCTACCGATTGTTTACTTCTAGCTAATCGGTAACTAGCCAGATTCACATATGCTAAACGAATTTTCAATGTAGATTTTCCGCGAAAATAAAACGTCAAATGAAAAATATTTATCTTATATTTCCGATATATTTTTTCATATAGAATCACGGTTGTATCATTAATACTGGGACACCCTGTATATGTCTGGTGTGTGTGCGTACGTGTGCGTGTGTGTGTACTTCAGTACTTGATAGGTCTCTTCGATGAAAATCTGTGGTTTGGAACGATCGTTACGAATAACGTTAAATTTTTATGTTTACGAGAACCTGGGACATTAAGAAACAATCGTTAATTCAATTTAACTGACCAAAGCAATCACAGGAGCTTCGATGATGTATAAAATACATAGTACATAGTTAAGACTTGTTAATAGGAATTGTATATAAAAAGAAAAACACTAACCGATGTACTGAATAAATATATTAGTGATGTTTTTTACTTAATGTTCTAAGTTTTCGCTGACACTTAGCGCAAATTAACTTTGCCACTCGTTTAAATACGGGTTTGTAAGAATGACGTTTAAAAGATGCGCATCGATTAGCGAACAGTACCGAGGTCATTGTTAAGAAGTATGACGATAAATATTATACTTACATTGGAATTAATGGAATATACGATAACGTGTAAAATGCTAACAAGCAAAAAAATATTTGTATTTTACAAATTGTACGTTATTTGTAGTAACGATAAAGAATGTGTATGATTTGCGCATTGCGTCAAGAAATTGTATCATTTTTTAAACATGCATTTACAGAATCAAGGTCAAATGGAAACTTCGTCGAAGACGTCGTCAAACGTCTCGTCAGGGACCGTGAATGCCGTCTCGGGCTCCAGTACCTCTGGAAACACATCATCTACCGGTGACAGTGGCGACGTGTATGAATTCAAAAGTTCGAAAGAGCCAACACCAGTTAGGGGTGCAAGCTCGTCGCCGAATCCTAATCCCGAGAAAGATAAAGATGGTAACAAGTCTGCTAACAATCAAGGGAGTCAGAGTAGTGGTAACAACGTGTCTACTGCTGGTAGTGCGACAACATCTTCTGGTGAAACAGCGACCGCATCGATTACTACCGATGATGCTCCTGCGGTTTCAGCGTCGCCTTCGTCTAAGCGCGCGTTTGAAAGCGACAATGCGGAGGAACAGGACGAAGAGATTCGTCGGAAGAAACGAAAAGATTCAGAACCTGCGAAAGAAAATTTAAAAGGCACCACCACTGGAAGACAAAGCACTGGTAGAAATTCCGCTAATACTGGAGAAAAGGTTTGTTTATTGTTATTAGCTATAAAATATATAATTAAACTATTTATATAATCGGCGGAAGAAATAAATGAGAACAAACTGAAATCATTCGTAAATTGATTACTGTACGACAAAATGTGTAAAATAAAATTTATGATGCTAAGAGGAATATATGTATGCTGCACATTCGTTTCTTTTTTTTAAGATAATTGTTTAATGATGCTGTAATTAGTAATAAATTAATATTAATCTAGTATTTTTCCTTTCTTTGTAGTGTACAAAGTCGGGAAAACAAGGATCTGGCGCAACATCGAGCAAGAACAATCAAAACACAACTTCGATTAGTACGGACAGGAAAAGTCCAAGTACTTCTTCAATGGCAAGTAGTCCAAAGCCTTCTAATCCGTCTGGTTCAACGATTAGCTCTAAAACAACAACACCAGCACCTCCAGAATCCGATGGTGAGGACGATCGGTCTAAAGGATCAGATTCCAATTCAGCTCCTAAAGTACCACCTTTGAAGATAGTTATTCCACAAAGTACTACGTCCGAGCAAGAGCAGGGCAATAGAAACGGAAAGAGCACATCTAATAGGAGTCATCAGTTGCCCTATGTAGTTGCCAGTTCTAACAGTAATGATTCAACGGATAAAGAACAGAGTCAATCCACTAGTGGAACAACGAGTCCTACAGAAAGCGGAAATAATACAAAAAATGAGGATAAGAAAGATTTCAGTGGTGCCTTACACGGAGAAGAAAGATCAACGCATCACCAAAGAGTGTTGAGAAGTTCACATAGATCCGGTAATGGGAGTAATGGATCAGCAACCTTGAAAGAAACCTCCTCTTCTTCAGGAAATGGAAGTTATTCGAACTCGTCTCCATTACCAGTAACTACTTCGACGGATCGTTCCAATAATTCATCACCACAACAGAGGCATCATTCACCAACACCTGAAACTCCTGGTTCTGAATCGAATAAAAATACCTCAACGGAAGTCTCAAATTGCGGCACGACTTCGAAAACAAACATTATGACAGAAAAATCCGAGAAAAACAACGAAATTAGTGGAAAATGTCAAAAAGATAGCGGTACCGAAAATTCTGAAAATACTTCTACTACTACCTCATCGACGACGTCAAATGTAGGCACCCCGGCACCACCGGTTGAACTTCATCCTAGAAAAAGAAAAATGAAACCTAATAAAGAAGCACAACAAGCTGCTACCGCTGCCTCTAATGAAGCATCTGAAGCAACAAATACGGGTCCAGAAGTTCATCCACATGACCAACCAATTACTAATTGTTATCAATTGTTTTTAAACATTAGAAAACAGGTTCGTATATTTGCCGTTTTTAATATATTTCAACAATTCTTTTTATAAAAAATATATCGTAAGTACATTTTCTCTCTTTTAGATTGAACGAAGGAGAAAAGGCCTTTTTCCAGTTCAACCAAAACCACCTCAGGGGTTTAAAGATTATTTAATGAATCGTTGTACATACGTGTTAGCTGGGAATGCAAATAAAGAGCCCAATGTTAATCCTCCGGTTGGATTGCAAGGCGCTATGAAGGACTTGTATATTGAACAAGAAAAAGAGAGATATCGTCTTAGAATGCAGCATGTTGTTGAAAAAGAAAAGCTAGTTTTGTCGGTAGAACAAGAAATCCTTAGAGTACATGGCAGAGCTGCTAGAGCTCTAGCCAATCAATCCCTTCCCTTCTCTGTTTGTACGATATTAAAGGATGAGGAAGTTTATAATGTTATTACTCCAGAACAAGAAGAGAAAGATAGAAACGCAAGGAGTAGATACAATGGTAGATTATTCTTGAGTTGGTTACAAGATGTAGATGATAAATGGGAGAAGATTAAGGTAAAAATTATAGCGGTTATTATAATATTTATACCTGAATTATATAGATTAGACAACTATAAATATATATATTGTCTTTAATTATTCAGGTTAAATTAATTCATGTTACGTAAAAACCGACTGATAATCTTTTTTCCATGAGTATCAGTTTAATAAGATGTAATACATTGATAAATGTTTCATTAAATATTGATTTATCTAAGTTAGGATAAAATTAAAGAAAAAATTACTATTTTAGGAAGCAATGTTACTCAGGCATCATAATGAAGCGGAATCATTACATGCTGTACAAAGAATGGATTGGGAATGGAAATTAAAGGAAGTTGGATTATGTGAATTCAAAGCAACACCACAAATAGAAGATATTCACGTTCCGATGGTGCATGTTTCAGATGACTTCGATTTACTCCCAGCTTAGTGTATAGTGATTACAATTGACTCGAGACGTTTCGCTCATTCCTTTGAAATAATCTCGAAGGATATACATAATTATAATCTGTGATCTCTTTAATAATGTATTTGCCGTTCTTTGTAATTACATTGTACTGCTCTTAAAACTATTGTTACACAAGGAGGCTATATTTAAAAAACATTTGACTCTAATTAGATTATGTATTACATTATATTTATATTTTTAACTAACTTTTCAAAATTTATGTAACACATTATATAAATTATTTTTGTTTATGTTTAATACTTAATATGTTTTATTAACGCATTATATAATTAAAAGGATAAACACATGAAAATTATATCATCGGATGATTTGCAATATTTTACAAATTCAATAACTGTACAATCTCATACGTTAGTAATTTGGTACTGTATCTTTTAATATACAGTCTCTCGTAATAACGTATATATTTATTACGTTATTAATGTAAATATATACGTAACAACGTATATATTTTGTACCTAGCAACTTATATAGTGCTTTTAAATAATGTATAAAAATTTAGACTAAAAAGCCGTGTAATAAATGAAACTATACTTGTCAAATTATTTCTGTTCTTCATTTTTGTTTCCCATTGTTATTCTTTTATCTTGTGGTTGATTGATCGCAGTAATACGTAACTGCTCTATTTCAAAATCTGTTGGTTTATTATAATTCATAATAATTTTATAATGTTTGGGATCTATAAAACAGCTTTCATCAAAAAGCAAAGGTTTACCACCTGCAATACAGGTTGTAAGTGCCCCTGTAATTCGTGTTTTAGGTTCAATAACATCATTTGGAGTAAATGTTATCTGTAATATACAAATCATAATTTTATACAAAATAGCTTAATTAAGTAATAAATAAGTTTAAAGAGACATAAATACCTCTCTTTTTTTGCAAAAAAATGTATATAATTCGGCGGTATACTTCTCTTTGTTAGGATAATGATACATTTCAATTACATATCTTTTTGTTAAGAAATGTACTAAAAGAGGACTACTTATAGTAAGTATATTTAATAGTGCAAATAATGTTCCTACACTTATTGCATTATCTTCTTCTAAAATCTTCATGTAAATAATTGGTTGACAAATTACTGATAAAACTGATGATAACAAGGAAAACATTTTAATATTACGGACTTTATTTGTTACTGCTCCATTGTATATCATTTCTCTTACACTAGTGTTTCTTTCACTGTGTTTATCAGAAACATGCCTTACTTGCAAACATGGTATAAATTTCTGTAACGTAAGAAATATATATTTCTGTGTTACTTTACAAAATAAAATTTGTATTTTGAAATGTATCATATAAATCATGAAATAATATACAAAAAGGTTATAAATATACATAGAGTGAAAGAATAATTAGAATAAAGCTTATAACACACATATATTCATTGATAACTTCATAAAAATAAAATACTTCTTAAAAAGAATTTCTAACCTTGACGTTTCCGCACGTATAATACATAGACGTCCGTTTAAATGTAATAATTTCTTTCATGAACAGTTTCCTTTGGTATAAAATGCAACTCCGCAAAAGTAAAGCCATGGTTAATAATTAACTGCAGTTTATTTTGGATTATTTAAATTATTTAAATATAGAATAGGAATCTTATAAAATCGCCATTAACAGAGAAGCTTCAAATTGTTCATATATAGAGTGTTCAGTTTTTTCCGAACAACTTGCAGGAAACAAATGAAAACAAAAAAAATATTATATAATACGTAAAACTATGAAACATCAACAAAGTTAGAAGCAAATGTCAACTATACGATACAAAAATAACTATAAGATAAATTAATGCAATGAATTAATAACTTGATTACTCATTTAGAGCAAAATTTTTAAAAAATCAGAACATAATAAATTCCATATTACATTGATGTAAAGTTTATCTGTGGTAAATTAGCAAAAGAGTGGTATTGTAAGTCGAAATTATTTTTATTATTAGTTTTGTACAGAAATCCTTATAATAGTAAGTGCAATTTAAGATCAGGCATTAGATCTTCTTCTTATAACTATGTTCTATAGTTTAATTCCAACATATATTTCTAGATATTTTCAAGCAAAAGCTTTGTAAAATAAAAAAGATAATATAAAAATTATTTTCCTATAAAAATATATAAAATTCATTTACGAATTGTTATGTCACCACATCATCACGAGCGGAGCGCTTAGCGCTCCATGTGTAACAAGAACGGACACGCAACTCTATAATTTAGTTTAGCAGTTCTTATATTCATTCTACCTTTTGTTTATCACGAATCCTCTTTGAATAATTTTTTATTGTTACCGATCCCTAAGACTTAACTCAATATTTAAATTCTTAATGTGCTAAATATGTATTTAAAACACTCATCAACTGTTCATTAATAACCTTCTTCGCGATAAGAGATTCATTATAAATAAATAAATACAATAAATAATTTTTATTCGTATAGTACAATAATTTGCGTATGTAAGGATTTCGTAGTTCCCCAAAAGTCTGCCACAGGTTAAAAATCGCTATTCTAATTAATTAATTATAATTAATTAACAATCACAACACGATTTTTCATCTTTTATTTACTTCAATAAAAGAATGAGTTATAATGTGATTGGTTAATAACATGCGTTTCATTTCGCAATATCAGAAGTACGAAATAAGCAGAAATGCTTTCCTAGCGTTTCTTTGCATTTGTAATATTATTTAAAGTAATGGAACTAACAATATTGTGTTTAACAATAAACTGTTTCGAATATTTTAAAACAATTTCTATACATTAGAAATTATATATATATTGTTCAATTAAAGTGTAAATACATATTGCGCACATACATAACCAACATATATGTACATGTATATGTACATGACCAAGAAAATATTCATTAATTGATTAATACTTATAATTATTATTTTAATCGATGTCTCAACGTACTAAAGTTATCCAACTATACAAGACGGTATGAAATATAATATTACAACTTCGTTATAATTTATTAAAAAATTAAATGTTATTTTAAAATAAAATAGCTGTGCGATATAATAATACATAACGAAAATTACACATAAAAGAAGATATTGTTTATCCATTTTATTATTATAAATATAAATAACAATATTTTTTTATGCCTTTAGCTCTTGTATATGGGTCGTGACTATCCAAGAGGTTATAATGTTTTCAAAGGAAATCTAAGAAAAGCTTTTGAAAAAAATAAACAAGAACGTGATCCTGAGAAAATTGATAAAATGTTGGCTCATGGTAATTTTGTTATCAAAGAATTAGAAACTTTGTATATGCTACGCAAGTATAGAACTTTAAAGAAAAGATATTATAAAGAATGATATTGTATTACATTATATTGTACTCATATGTTTAAATATAGACACAAAATACAAATTAAAAATTAATTTTCCTTATAATTTTATTTTTCAATCAATTTTATGGTTTCTATTGGTTTCTATGGTTAAAAATGAAATGATTCGTATATCATGTTTATAAATACAATTAATGTTTTTACCAAACCTATACATTTGTTGTTGTTATTTTATTGCAAAACAATGCAATGTTTTATAACATAATTGTATGATTATTAATTTTACTAAGAACTGTTTAATCATTCATTAACAGCAGTCATTATCAGCAGTTGTCAAAAATGGTGGCATAACCTATATGTTGTGACATCTAAACAATACTTATGTGTGTGGTCTTGACAAAAAAGCCTTTACGTGTGTAATGATCTTTACAAAAATTGAAGTTTTCAATCTCAATTATTAAAAATGTTTTGTTATGAATTATAATGTTGTAAGTTTATAAGATTCATAAATATGGCCATTTGTGTAGCTGTAATCGGAAAAGATGTAAGTACACATCTTTTAAGGTTGGAATGTTAATAAATGTGCAAAATCTTTAGTTAATAAATGATACAAATCAAAAAATATTGTGGTTTTGAAATTCGATAGTAATAATAATACGTGTTCCAAACTACTTATTTGCAGAATTCTCCAAAATATATTAGATGTGTAGATGAATCATTGGCATTGCAATTTCATTGCAAAGTTCATACGTCAATTGATATTATAGAAGAAAAATTAAATGTTGGAAATAAAACTGCTATTGATATACGAGATTTGTATTTAAATTTATTATATGCTACTGAAGAATATAAAATGTACATATGTAACATGTATTGCATCTTCAAATATATTATGTTTTTTACATAGTATTTCTTTGTACAATTTCAGATATGGTTATGCTACTAATACAAAAATCAAATTTATTATTGTGTCTCATTCATCAAACACGTCTCTGAGAGATAATGATGTAAAAATGGTAAATGTTTTATAAATCATATAATAAAAGAACCATATTTAATATATGTAAATCTATACTTTGCAGATTTTTAAGAAATTGCATGCGGCTTATTCTAATGCTGTATGCAATCCATTTTACATTCCAGGTGATCAATTGAATTCCAAGTAAGTTCATTTAATTTAGTTAATAGTATTACTTTAATGTATATAGCAAATTTTAATATATTACAATCAATGCATATATATCATTTTAGGTCTTTTGATTTAGCAGTAATGGATATAATGGGTATTATATCACCTTTTTAATAGATTATATTTGAACTTAATATATTGTGAATATATTTCAAATAGATATCATTAAATTATGTAAAAATTATTACAAATCTTTTTGCTTTGATAAAATGTATAGTAACTTATTACAAAATTTATTATGTTAAACTGTAATTTATCTTTTTAGTCTTTAACTTTGTAATACTATAGTAAGCTTCTGTATTTTCTATCCATTTCTGTTTTAGCTATTTTTAAGAAATGGTAACTCTTTATTATTTGTTTTTTGATAATTTTCTGATATACAAAGATTATTTAGTAGCAAATTTTGTTTGAAACGATTATTATGTTGATAAAATTTTATTTTCATGATTGAAATTTTCAACAGGATTGAGTCTAGTATTGAACGATTGAAAAGAATATTAAATAATAAACACTAAAAGTATTTTTAAAATTTGAAATTAAATAGTTTATTTATCTAGAAATCTTTTAAGGAGTTGAAGGAGTTATAGTTATGAAAGGAATTAGAAATAATTTATGTACCCCGCATAATTTGCACACTGACGACCGTTTTACATCGAATCCTGAAAGAATTAAACATTACTATATAACAAATTGTTATCAGTTCTTATAGTGAGATATAATTTTTGCATAAAGAAATTATTTTTGTATTTATGTGTTTATATTTAAATATTATTTATTTATTTTTTTAATTTAAATATTAAGATTACTTACTCTCATTCCTGTTTTCAAGTACATTATCTGCTTTTTTTAAAATTTCTTTACTTAGTATTTCGATATCAGTTGATATGTTTGAAGACATAGTAGTGGCATCACTTATCTCACTAATATCACTGGTGGTAAATATCTTTCTGTTCATCCATTTATTTACTACTTTACGAGGAAAGAAATGTTTTAATTTGCCTATACATCTCCCAGAGTACTCCTGAGAATCGTTCAGTTCTGAATTGCTACTACTTTCATTGGAATCCTCCAATATTGTAATTAATTGCTCAGAATTGAATCTGTCTAAAGAAGATGTATTAAATGAAGATGAAATTTTACTTTTACTATAGTTATTTATATTATTAATTGAAGTTGTCGCCATATTATTAAATTTTTGTGTTTGACATACTGGGTCATTATTATTTATTTCAAAAGAACTGTCCGATTTGTCTGTTAAGTTGCCATTATTTGATAAAAACTCATTGCTTGAATGTCTGTTAATATAAGTTTTGCCTAATTGTTTTGTAGAGTCATGTCTTCCTAAAATTTCATCGAGCATCTGCCTTAATAGTGTTCTTAATGAAACATCTTTATTTGTCTTGCAATTATCTTTTTCAGTGTCCATGTCTTGTTGATGTTGCAAATTACTTGAATTTTGTAAAAAATCATTCGTAAGGTTATTGCTTATATAATCTGAATCAGATTTTGTACGAGGTAAAGAAAACAGACTTGTGCTATCATTGTATTCAAATATACTTGAAATATGTTTGCTTCCTTCTGTATTAGTTGCAACTGATATGTCGATTTCTGTGTCTTCATTCCTTAATGAGATACTAGAATCTAATATATCATGAAAACATTCGTTATCCGAGTATGAAAAGACCTCGTCATTAATTGACATAAACATAGCATCATTTAAATTTATTCTTGAACTTGATCTTTTGCCTAGATAAAATAATATACTTTGATTATTTGCAGGAAAGTATTCTTGCTTTTGGTTTATTAAAGTTCTCCTTATTAAAAAATACATTAATTTTTAGCTAATAAATTGAAATTAAAACAAATTTTGTGTAATTATATTAAATAATATTTATGTTATAAACAAAATATGAATTTTTATGCAAAGAATATGTTTAAAATAAATTTCTGCCATTCATTTTTTTTATTAAAAAATGTTGCCACTCACAACTATATGTTTCATCTGTAGAACTTATGGAATTCGCTTGTTCCATATCTTCTATTTCAACTTACTGTTTTCGTATACTCGTAGTCGTTGATCTCTTGACGTGTATCGGATGAGAAGAAATGCAAATACTACTTTGAAATACGTTATATTTAACTTCCAGAGTGTTTTGTTTACCAACAAATTTTGATATTAACATATAATGAGTGATATAATTCCAATAATTTGTATATTCACTAAAACAGATTTTATTATAACGTAAAACAAGTTTTAATAAAAAACTCGATCTTTAATATAAACAATACATCGCAAAAGATACAAGATTTCTTTACTGATTAATGTCGAATAATTCAATGATAGTTTTGTAGATAATTTGATTGAAAATGAGAAAAGGTTACAGAAAATGGATAGAATAATCTTTATATAAATGGTAGGTTCCAAAATTAAGTTCATTAAATACAACAAACAATTTTCTCAATTTATAACACAAATGATATCATTTAATGTCAAACAATCAAATACGATCAATATTATATGATTGAAAATATGGCAAAAATTATTTCAACAATTATATTAATTCATGCTCCCAAAATTCGTGCTCACAAAAGACGCTGTAAGAAGCTTTTAGATTTATAAACTTCATCTTTTATCTTTTATGCCTTTTTCCTTGTTTGAAGGAAAAAAGAAGGTTTTGAATTACAATCAAGTTTTATGTTTTCAAAAGTATTAACTTGATCAGTTTCACAGACAGTTCAAGAATGGCGCCGACTCATGGACTACAAAACCGTCTTAGAACTTAACGGTTGAGAAAGTAAACACGAACGGCGCGATGTTTGGTTTGTTTTGTTTGTATCGTTCAGATTTATATAATATGTAATTTTTTCAAATGTAAAAATTTATTTACTAATAAATAGAAATGTATAGAAATAAATTGCTTTTTTTTAATGCTGACTTTTCGTATCGCCGAAATCGTGCCGCTTCCTATGGTATCATATTCTCCTAATATAAAATCACAAAATCGACCGAAAGTATTTTCCAGGAGCTGAAAATTTTTACAAATTCTTAGAGTATGACGTCGTTTTCAAGAATCATTAAAATTGTGTTATCTCTTATGTTATCATCTCCTGATACAAAATGGCTATTTTGATCGACATATTTCTCGTTCGAATAGCAAATTTTTGCTTCGCGTCTTTTTTTTCTTTCAGAAAATGACGTCATTTCTAGGAATTTTAGAAGATCTCGAATACCTCTTACTTTATTCTTTTCTAATACTTTATTCTTTTAATATGTACTTACCAATACTTACTAATTTTGTCGAACTTCTTCTTCGTATTCTATAACGTATTCCTTAAATTAATGAAAACTGGAAAGGAATTGATGATTGTGAATGTTGGAAAGGTTTTAAATGATTAAATGTTTTGTTTATCTGAAAAAAAAAAATAAGATTGTTTTATTCAGTTCAATTTACAAGTTTACAGTAATTGTACAATTCTACAATGAGTTCATAATTTTCTATATAATAATTTGCATAATTGTGTGCTACATAAAACCAAAGTTAGCGCTCTACAAGTAACAATCCAAGCTCAAATTCCCCAAACGAACAAACACACAACACAACAGAATACATTTTATATTTACAACTCACTTCATGTTAGAAGCATTGATGTTGCCAGGACTGATAAAATCGCAGAAATTTAAGACGTTCAAGCAAATTATCTAATATTTTTTGTTCAATATTATACACGGTTATCGCTTTTTTCTTTTCACGTTGTTTTTGTAAAACTTCACATATAACAAGTATAAAAGTTTCACGTAATATTATATTCATTGTTAAAAATAGTTATGTGTTACTTACGTTACTAGCATATGTGTTGCGTTTGTAAATATCTGTGTTATCGATTATTCAGATTTTGTCGTTGCCATATTTTCAATTTTACATAAGTAGGAATTCACAAAGTACCACGTGATTGTCGTTTACAAATGATCGTCGTGATGAAAGTTATTGTGTTTGGTATTATGAAAAAGTGAATGATATATAATATATGAAAACCCGGTTTCTCTTTGAGTATCTCAAAACGTATTTGTCAGTTTTTGTTAAATATTTGAAAATTGATTTTATGAAACATATTTATGTAACACGGCAGTCTGAATTAGGTTATAAATACGTTGAATCTTAACGTACTTTTGTGAACTAGTCTCATCTTACCTGTGTTTAACGGTAATCGTATTAAATATCTAAATGTAAGTTTTCATGTATTAATAGATTAATAGATAATGTATTCATAGATAACGTATTAATAAATTAGCAGTTAATATATTAATAGATTATAGATAATGCATTAATACATTATTAAGTTTATAATAAAATTATATATCAATATTATTATTTTATAATTTTTTGCATTAACAGTATAAATTGTTTAATTCAGTTCATGAAATATCTTGACAATTAAATTTTTTTGGTTTATTAGGTGGAAATAAGTAGAATATAATAGTTAGACTACACATTTTTATGCAGTTTCATATTTTTAGAAATTCAATTAAAAAAGTAGAGCCTCTGCAGAAAATTGGCTTTTCTACTAAGTATTATAGAATGTATTATAGTTTGAATATTTTACACACTTTAATATTATGTGCATTTGTATAAGTTAGCTTACTTTTAAATTTCTTATAAATGCATAAAAATCTGCAGTGTAATGATTATTTATGAATTTTTATGCTTATATAATTACAATTATAGAGATAAACATCAAAAAAATGTTTTGTTTTAAAAAAATATATATTTTTAATATTTATAAATTATATTTGTAGTTTATTAATTTATTGCACATATTACAAGTATGGAAAAGCAAGTGACAATTAAACAAAGATTGACTGCTGTGCAACAGATATAAAAATATGCGAAGTAGTTCCAAAAAAGAAGATACTAATGCAAAAAAGAAATATGTTTTTTTCACTGATCCTGATATTATTGTTCAACGTGCTGAAACATCTGCAGCAGTAAGTCAATTTTATCTTATTGTTTTTGTGTTATATGTATTGCAATGATTTTATAAATGAAAATAGTTTTAGCAATAGTTATATATTGTTAAAAGTATAATGTAATAAAATATAATTTTAGCAGCAGCAAGATTATATTACCAAGCAGCTATCTAAAGACAAACCATCTCATGTTCCACTTCAATTTGACTTGAAAAGTCTAGAGAACTTATCATATCATTCTGTCCAACCATATCCTTTCACGTTTATAAGTGCTTTGAAACGAAAACTTGCTTTAAACAATGGTTCCGAAGTCTATAGAAAAACACATGAATTAAATAATAAAAATGCAGCAATTAAGTCTCCAACAATATTAGAGTCTAATAGTGTGCAGAATTTGCATGAAGTTGTACAAAAAATGGATTTTATAAGGCCATTGAAAGCACCAGATCTGAAAATTTCTGCAAAGAAATTAGATTTCTCTAACAGAGAAAATTGTGCATCGAAAGAGTTGATATCACCAAAATTTGAGACACCTACTAAGGAATTTCACGAAAGAGGAGAGAAACCAACAAAGAGCTTTGAGCGAGTTCAAAGAAGATTAGATTTCTCAACATCAGATGTCTCATCTACTATTAACAGTGAAGTAGAACCACTAAAGGTGCCAAATATTTCTATATCTTCAAATTTATCAAAGAAGAAAGAATGCATTAGAGAAAATTCTAGAGAAAAGGAAAACAGGTCTAAAAGAATTAGAAAAGATGAATCCTCATTCTCTAAACAAGATGATACAGTACAAGACTTTCTTAGAAGATCCAGAAGTCCAAGACATGCTTCTAGGAAAGATTTTTCTAATAATGTAAGTGAAAATACATTAGGTATAAAATTAAAAAATGACAGATTGTCATTTCATATTCCACGGGAAAGTGATTTTGTTCCAACAAAACCAAGACCAAAAAACTTTGCTACATCAACTGCTAAAAAGGTTAATGATAAGAAACATAGATCTATTAATACTAGATCTTTAAAGACAAGAGATATCTCTTTAGAATCTAAGAACAGATCTTATAGTAATGAATCACTTTCCGAACGATCTTCAAAATTATCAGACAAGGTCACAGTTAAAGAGTCTAGAAATATGTTTGAAAATTTCGATTACAAACATAAGGATGATTTACATACATTAAAACAAATAGATGATCAGAAATATATGTTTTCATCAGAAAGTAGACAAGTTCAACAACACAAAATAACATGTCAATCACAAGGAAAGACAGGAAATGTATTGTTTAAAGAGCAGAGTAAAAGATTTGAAAAAGTAAAACCATCAACAAGTAAAATAGATGGTAAAATGTATATAATAAACTCTAAGGAGTCTGAAAGTATAGAGAGTGTAACTGATTCAAATATTAGTGTAAGAACTCAAAGTCCAATCACTGTCTCTACACAGCAGATGAGAAATAAAAATTCTGAAAAAGTTGCACAAAGTATTAACATTAGTAAATCAAATAAAGCTACTGAAGATTCAAAATATACAGATGATTCTTTGACACAATGTACTAGTGTAAATACAAAAAAAGAAGAAGAATCGTTTACACAAAGCATTGCTACTACAGTTAAACAAACTAGTAATAGTAATGAATCTAATTTAAACAACAGTATTTTATCAAGTGCATTATTAGATCCAAGAAGAATTTCATTTAGAGATGAAAATCGTTCACAGCAAGAGGACTTTTGTGATTTAATTACGCCAGATATGAATCTTATGCCTCGATCTAAGCGAAAACGGCAATTTATGCAGAATAATAATATAGAAGCTGATTTTAAGTGTTCAAAACATAATATAGCTAAAACTGAAACAGAGCCAGAAAATATTTCATTGGTAAGTAAATATGTACACTATATATTGCCATTTTATTTAATCTATGCATTATGTTAGAAAAGCAATTTTACAATTGTAGTTACATCCAACTGCCTTACACATGCAATTTCAAGCTGAGTTGCATCTTCTTGATTCATTTAATGAATCACTGAGGCAAGTCATGGATGTTGAAAAATGTTTATATAATGTTAAACATGATCAAGAAAAAGAGTTACCATTACAACATAATCAGTCAAATGATCAAATAAAATCACATTTCTCTAAATCAATGGATGAAAGAAATATTGATGATATGGAACATTGCAATGAAATTAGTAGATCACAGAAACATGTTGCCACTGATAAAGGTAGAAGATTTAATAAATTATTTATTATAATATATGAAAATTATTAATTACTAATGAAAGTATTAATGTTAACATAGCGTTTCCGACTCACAAAGTACATCATATTACAAGTCAAACTATGGGAAACGAGTTTGACAATGTAAATAAAGTAACTAAACCAGTAGTTAAAGCTGTAGAAGTACAAACCCAAACAGTAAATGACATGGCAACTCAAACAGATATACGTCCAGCTCGACGGAATGTACAAAATAGATGCTCAGAGATATGTGGAATACCATACGAACAAGAATTCATTGGAGACAGTGAAGTTCCACATCTTTCTTTAGATTCGGTAGAACAATTTGAAGATTTAGATCAAATAGAAGAAATATCGTTACCTAGTAAATTAAGAACGATGTCTGAAATAAGCTTACATGAAACCACATCGTCTATACGGACAGAGACTGGAACGGAAATTAGCATCTCTACTCGAGACTTAACTTGTTCTTTTAATAAATATCTAGATCTAGAGGTAAGTATAATGGATTAAAATTTCCATATTAAAAATAAATTGAGATTAAATATATTACGCATTTTTGTAGATTGCACAGCTAATAAAAGACGAGAAACAAAGATATGATAAAATTGAGATGCTATTCAAATCTCGTGAAAAAACATTGAATGATCGAACTAAAAAGTTAGTGAAACTAGAAGAACAAAAACGGGCATTAAAAGATACTGGACAAGATAGTCGTGTTAGCTCTGTGAAAAAGAAGCAGAGAGCTTTACTTTTAAAATTACAACAAGAAAAAGACGAAATGAACAGGTATTGCAATTCTTTGTACTTAAAAATACTTTATTTAGTTTTTACATATTTATAAAGATTATGTTTTTAGATTAAAAGAGCTTCATAAAATTGCAAGCCAAGAACGTAAGCTTATGTTACAAAAACAGAGAAACATGTTTAATCCCCAAATATCCACTAAAAATATTTTAACAAAACTAAAACGAAGTGCAGATAGTCAGTCTCCAAGGAGATTATCTGGACCTATGAAGGGTTATGATATAAGGAGTAATAGTTCTATGAGTTCTCTAGTTGATTCTGATAAATCTCAGCACGATCGATCTCAAACAGACGCGCGCTTGCAAATATCAGAAAACGAATCACACTTTTCTAAAATCGACTTACCAAAAAGTAATAAATTCACGAATTTCATTGAGGGATCTAATACATCGTTTTTAAGATCGGATAAATCCGATGAAGCTATACAAAGCAATGTGTCTCAAGAAAAATGTCTTTACAAAACACAAAGGGATGGAAACATATCTAAATACGAGATAAAGTCAAGAAAATTTGAGGAAAAGATGCCCAAGGTGGATGTTACAAGACTGAAATCACATCAACATTCTGTTGACCCAAAATTGATCTCGAATCATTCCATAAGCATTCCTGGGAAATATCTTTTTGAGAAAGAAAAATCTCCCGATATGTTAGAAGTACAACAGAATCTAAACAAATCTATCTCTGAACATATTAAATCAGAATCTGACACTTTAGTAGAAGAATTATCTAAAAAATCAAAGCCTTCTCAAGTAATTGATAATCATTTTCAGAGTATAGTGTCCCCAAGGGAATCTTTGAAAGCTATTACTACGAATAGCGAAATTTTGTCAGAAGAAGTAAGTTCTGTTAGTCAAGATACCATATTGAAAACATCAAAATCATCTCAAGTGTCTGAAGACATTTTACAAACGTATTCGAAAAGTTCTAAACGAAGCAGTAAATCAATTCCGACCGATATGTCTAAAAAGACCCAATATAGTTCCGAATCTAAATCAAATTTTAAACGCAGAAGTTCAAAATGTCAAAAAAGCAAATCGTCATCTAGCATACTCACCGAGAATATATTACGATCCAAATCCAATTCTCAAATGTCAGAGGAGCTTGTCAAGCATCATAATAAACGAACAAAAATGGAAAAGGAATTTATTCAATTTGATAAGAACGATGAAACTGCACTTATGGATAAACATACAAAAGATAAGAATTTCAAATTACTAACAGATAGGATAGACGACTATGATAGCAAAGAGAATGTATTCTGTCAAAAAATGTTTGATAAAAGTGTAAACTCCTATGAAAATTCCTTTTGTAGCCAAGACAAGAATGGACATAATTTCGATGAGACATCCACAAAATCTCAGATTAGTAATTTTGCTATTTCTCATCATAGTTCCGGAGAGAGTGACAGAAATTATTCTAAATCCGTGGTTGTTAGATCGCAAGATCATAATTTGAAAACATCTAAAAAGCTTGAGCAGTAAGTATATGCTTTTTTAGATTAATTTATATATTTATATATTTTATCGTCATGATTTCGGAAAGTGTTTCTAATATGATGTTTAAATTAAATTAATAAATGTGTGAATCACTAGAGACACGTGTAAGAAGTCTAATAATAAACTGTGTATTCACACTATGAAATGAAGCATTGTAAAAATAGATTCAGTGCACCGGCGATTTGCATTCCGCCGTTATTGCAGTATTTCACTGTAGTAAAGAATATTTGGCTTACTTCTTATGCCTAAATAATTGTTTTTAATAATTTCGAATTCTTACAATTTTCACACAAATTTTTTCTTGTAGTTATTTTAATCGATATGGAAAATGTATTCGTGTTATCGGATGTGGTTACATTTTTTAGAATTTTGAATGCACGTGAAGCTGCGCTTACCTCGCGGAAAAACTGTGTGGAAGAGTGGATGGCTTGGCATGCGAAATTAAGAAATGAAGAAGATCGTGTTGCACGAATGGAACAAGCTGCACTTAAACTTGTAACTGCAACATCTAATGTTTTTTCTCAACAAGGTAGCTTTATTGTAGAGTGTTTTCAAATACAACTTCATACATCTGTATAATTCATACTTCGTACGTATTTTAAGATATATTATCGTTTATCAAAGCTGTGAGAAATTTTTCAGAAAAGTTCTTTATTTATTTTTAATAAGAACCATTAAACAAATCAAACCTACGATTCGTACCTTGCAAATTTTCAAAGTAATATTATTAAAGTATGTCACATGTGTTTTCTACATAACGTTTAATAAAAAATTATTTATGTCAGTAATAGTAAAATTTCTTCATGAATGAACAAATACTTCTAAACGATAATGTGTATAAAATATACTACTTAATAATTTGCATTGAATCATCTATTTTATATAAATATACATCTTTTAACTCTGATAACTATCAGAGAGAAGTATGTGTCATTTTATAGATACTACTATTTCATCGGACACGAGCGATATCGAAGGAAGAATAGAGTTACTCACTGAAAAATTAGCTGAAAGACGAATAGAAATGTCACGTTTGAAAAGGGAAGCCAGGAAACAGACGAAACAAAAACTTCGAACTTTAGAAGCTAATTTACTGCATCAAATCAAGGTAGATAATTTAATATTGTTAATAGATTTGAATATGATTTTATAATAAATTTGATGAGATAAATCTTATGTTACATTTATTGAATGATTTGTTATGTTCAAACAGAAATATGATACAACGATTTACGAAATGCGTAAGAAATTGGAGTCGAAAAAAGGATCTTCTAAAGACAATGAGAAATTAGCGATAGAGTCCAAATCTTTGGCAGACTTCAAAATACCTGAGATTCCTCTGAAAAAGCTACAGGATATGTTCAAAAGCAGCGATTTGTTGAGGTCTAGGTCGGAATCTGATTTATTTTCCACGAAAAAATTACCAGTAAAAGATTCTATAAAAAATATTAATTTATTACGAGATGAAATTATTGAAGCTAAATATGATAGAAATTACTCTGAAAAGACACTTGAATCTTCAAGAAGTATGAGAACATTAGAACAAGCAAGTTCCGCAAAAATGAGTACGGCAAATCACCGCACTCAATCAGTTTTTGATGAAATCATATCAGAAAAAATTGAAATTGATAAACTTGGTTCTGCTGCGATGTCATCAGTCTCAGATGGACGATCTGACAAAAATATTCCTTGTGAAACTGGACAATATAAAGATGAAATCCGAAATAATCAAAGTATTTCTGAAGATATTAGAACTGAAATTAATACATCGAAGTCTGAAACAGATATACTTACACAATCGGAAGCTAAGCTTTCTCAGCATGATACTACGATTCAGTCTGATTTAAAGGAGTATAAATCCGATTTTGATACATTTTCTGAACAGTCTCAGGCTAGAACTATTTCATCACAACATTCAGAACATTCACATATTTCTTCGAGAAAATCCAGTAATATTCAAAATTCTAATGCAGAAATCAACACTGAATCTGTTAATGAAAGTCTTGATTTTTCCAAAAAAGTAGACTTTTTGCGTTTAAATAATCAAAATTTGAATGAGGATATAAGCTCATTGGAAAATGAACTAAAGATACTTTCAGAGATGATGTCGCGTTTTAATAAAAAATCAAATGAAGAAAGAAAATATGAGTCACAAAATGAAGAGAGAAGTACATCGAAAGGAATATCAGAAATACTTTCAGTATCTGATAAAAATAACGAGGTTTATGATGAGGAAATCGTAAAAGAAGACAAAAGCACAGATGTAGAATTATATGAAGAGAAGGGTAATTCTGACATTCCACAGTATTTAACGAATAATACAAAATTGGAATCAGTTACTAACATCAGTGATAATAAAATTATAACGAAAGAAGACGATAATGTAATATCTGTTATGATGCCTCAAAATAAAATATCGCCTTCTAGGTCAAATATCCAAGAAATTGATTATAAAGCGAGAAGCAAAAAAATTTTAAATGAAATCGAGAAATCTATAATATTAGAACATATTAAGGCAACTAAGGATGATCTCAGTCGCTCAGAGATGTTAATCGAAAATAATAATTTAAGCTTGCATAAAAAAGATGAAGAAGTGTCTTGTGATACTTCTGTTGGAATCAGATCCATATCCGAAATTTGTTCAAAAACAATGCAGAATGAAGAATGTATAAATATTATGGAATTTGAAACAGTATATTCTGAAGAAAATGTTGATGCAAATATTGAAGAAGATTCAGTTAACTCATATAATTTAGAGAGTCATCAATCATTGGAGTCGAATAAAAGTTCTTCATTATTTTCAGAAAAATCCAACTTAGCTGAGAAGAGTAAGTCTTCAAATCAATGCACAAATATCAATCATAGTTCAATAATAAATGTACTTAATATAGAAACTCAGTCTGAAAATAAAAATGATCCATCTCTTAAACAAGTTCTGCAGGATATTTCAAAACATCCAATAGTTACAGAATATGTAAATGAATTATTAAAAAGACAAATTTCTCCGCAGTTATCAAATTCGTCCAAACAAAATGATAGTTTTAAGGAACCAATAGATTATATGGAAGATACAGTGGATGATAGTAAATACCAAAATATAAATGATATATGCACAGCTTCAAAAATAGAAGGTTCAGAATTATTCTTAAATGAATCCAAAGAATTTAATGATAATAATAAGAATGAAATTTCATTTCTACAAACTGATATGGGAAAACCTAAAGAAATTTCTCAAAAATCTGTTCAGGGATCTAAACATGATGCCTTCGATCGCGCTTTAAGCATTAGTAATCAAGAAGTCGATAAGAATGGAAGTCAGGCACATGAAGGATTTATTAATAAAAGTTTTGATAAAGATGATTGGACCGCATCTGATTCATTTAATATTCATTCTGCATGGAAAAATTCTCAAAGTCAAATTTCAAAATTATTCAGTGATGACTCGAGTATACTGTCAAGTTCAAAAGATACATTCCAGTCAACTAATGATTCTAAAAATCAAATTAACGCAATCACCGATATAGAAGATATAGAAAATATGTCACTATTTATTCCAAAAAGCGAATCTACTAATATTGACATATATGGAATCAAACTTGATGAAACGATATTAGATTCTCATTTTGAAAGTCCTGATAATAAAGCTAAAAATATTTTGAATATAATTACGAAAGATAACGATAAAGAGCAATATGAAGAAGACACTGTGCACAGTATAGAAACCGATGATTTCCAAAAGGCCATTTATGATTCTGTGATTAAGATACTGGATAAGGTTGAAAAGAGCATTGAAGATAATTCAACAAGAGAAAATGTTGAGAACCATGTACATAGCATAGGGAGTAAAACCAAAATAAAAGTCACAGTACAGGAAAAAGAGAAACCAATTTTAAGTAGTTTTACCTTACAAGATAAATGTTTGAAAGAAAATAAAGGTAACACCATTGATACTAATGAAGAAGCTGCTAACAGAAATATCAATGAAGAGATTATAGCTAATGAAGTTAATACAGAGACTGCTATAAGACTAGATGTGCACACAAAAATCAAAGATGATGATAATACATGTCTTAGTGAATCTAAATCTCGAGAAATCATCATAACAGAATTAGAACCAGGGAGTGCTGAAAGTGAATATTTATCAGAACTCGAAATTGATGCTAAAGTAGAATTAGCAGAAGAAGAACTTATAGAAATAAATAAAAGTGATAACAAAGAAGAAATACAAGACAAAATAACACAGGAACAAAAATCCTTGGAATCCATAATAGAACAAGATAGTTCTGATGGTGAACAGCTTGATAATTTAGTTGAAGTAACTGAAAGTGTATTGGATGTTATAGAAAAAGAGACTAAATATTTTATAGATTCTATTACCGAATCAGAACCGACTTCACATAATAAAACAGATATTCAAAGCGTTGAAATACAAGAAAATAAAATACAAAGTAATGTAACTCCTTCCACAATAATAAATAATGTTAAAACAGTAGAAAATGTTGAAGTAATTGTATCGGATGTCTCACCAAATATAGGGGATAAAACCTTTGATATTTTGAAAGATCCAGAGTATGAAGATATTTCAGAAGAAAGTCTCGAAGTTTCTGAAATATTCGATAAAAGTGAACTTCAGAAATCTGCTGTTTTACGAAAATCATCTTCTATACCGGAAAGATATGAAGCAATACAAAAATCAGGAGAAGTATTGAAAATACTTGATGAAATTGCACAGAAATTTTCATCAAGTTCAGAAAATGATATAAACAAACTTCAAGACAATAAATATATTTCTGGAGATAATAAAAAATCACAAACTGAAATTTCTGATACAGATAGCATTGCATCTTCAAAAGTAGATAATAAAGCTATTGATAAACATGAACAACCTCTAATAAATAATTTGGAAAGCCAGCAGTCTAAAACAGAAGCACTAGAAAAAGAAAATCAATTGATAAAAGCAGTGATTAATCCAAATAAAACAGAAGAAAAAGAAAAGCAGGAACAAGATGTATTATCTGAGTCAAGTGAGGGCAGAGATACACCAAAGGGTGTATCAGAAATTGAGATGGATTCTCCTAGAGATCATAATGATTCAAGATTGGATATCGACGTGTTAAATGATGATTTATTAAGTAATTCAAACATAGAAAATCAAAATGCAGATTCGAAGAATACATTCCATGCTACACCCATTGTTGCAACATCTGAAAAGGATATAGAAATCATGATAGATAAATTAAAAGGTATGATTTTTATTTATCGTAACTATTACATTACTATTAAATTAAGGCTATACAATTTAAATTTTAGTAAAAATATATTTTTAAATATCTATTTCATGATTCAATATATAGAGGAGTATTTCTTTCATATTTTGTAAATATTTTTTAATTTTTTAATCATAATTCTTTATATTAAATGTATATATAAATAATTCAAATTATTGAGTTGTAAATTATATCGTTATTGAACGGATATTTGAATATGTAATACGTACATATTTTTATGGTATTAAATACATATTGGATACAACCAACTTAGTTTTAATATTATTTATATAATTTAATGCATAAATGATAATACATTCTTGCATATCACATACATTACAGAGACACATTCTGATTTTTATGTTGGCTGTGTATTCCTGTGCAAAGCATTGCCTCGTATAGCCATGTATTATTTATTTTCAGAATAGCAAAGTCGAGATAATAATTACTTAAAGGTAATACAACACGAAACTTTGAATGAAACAAACATTGACTTGTTCCTTTTATACAAATCAGTGTTGCATGAGTGCTTGATATTTACTTATTAATTTCTGTATGCACAAAAAAAGCCTGTAAATATTGTGCAACACAACACAATATAAAATATAGTATCTTCTGTTCTCTTTAGATACTTTTAAAAGAAAATGACTATTATATACATATATATGATCTTGGAATGTATAATTTTATCACAGCTTCATACTGTTTTATTAATGCATCAGAATATTTTCTTTATCCATATTTGGATGTTTTTCTTTTTTTTTTTAAATCATCAAAGCACCTAATCAAAGTAAAATGTGAACTTATAATGTAATGTAAAGATTCGTGTTGCTTTTCCTAGACAATTTATTTATAAAGCTTTTCATGAATTTGTATTATTTCACATTTTTATTTACACAGCCTCATTGAAACAACCTGGTATGGAGGCAGATTGGGAAGCAAAATTGCTTCGCATTGAACAACTTCAAATTGAGTTAGAGGTAACAATTCATTCCTGCTATCTTATTATATTATTTATGTAAAAGTTGTTCCCCTATACATATATCTTCCTTTATAACAGATTAAGAAATTAGAAGCAGAGGAAGTATCTTTCTATGTTCGAGAAATACCAAACAAACCACCACCTCCGTACACACCACCTGGTGGTGGTGCAAGAATTTCAACATCCCTTGGATCATCTTCTCCTCCTCCAGCCGTAATTCCCTCCAATATAGAAGAATTAACGGCATTTACTGAAAAAGCCACGGCTATAATATTTAATGCCAAAGAGGCTGGAGAAGATATCATGAGCTTAGAAGCTCCTCCTGAAATCTGCGAGTTAACCAAAGAAAACGACGAGACTGTAAAAAAGGATAGAAGAATTTACAATACATTCCTCTTTGATCTGTGCAAAGAAACAATCGCCGAAGTTTATCAGGCCGAATACGAAAAACCAGGTCCAAGTTGGACAAAACCAAATGTGAAAACAAAACCTACAATGAAAATCCCTAAGACTATACAAGAGCTTAATGCTTATGTGAATAAGGAAGTGGCCACGTTGTTTGGTTTCAAAACGAAACTACAACGGGAAAACATGGTGATGCGTTGGAGCAGAAAACGAAGGGACAGGGTTGATGAATTATTGGCTAGAGAAGCTCAGGCCGAGGAAGATGAATGGACGAAATTCCATCATGATGAACTCGCGGTAAAAAATGGTCTTACTGTAACTATATTAGATACTCTGTTGATGGAAACTGTGAATGTAGTTAAAGTGGCATACGCAAAAAAAAGAAAAGTAATGGTTTAGTTTCTTTCTTTATTCTTTCTTTTTTGCAATGTTATGATTAACGACTGAGATTACCAATATACATGAACTACGGAACAACCGTTTAATTATGAAAAATAGTATATATTATTTTAAAATTCAGTAAACTGGCCTGAACTGCCATATTTTAATGAATTTCTATAATAATTAATTTTTATGTGTGCCCTATACATGATCTGTAGGCTGGTTCCTATTTATTTCTTTGATAAATCAATCGTAAATACGAAAATAAAATGTGTAAGGAATTCATTTCATGAATTTTAGAATTGTAGAAGGTATTTGTGTATCAGTGTGTAGAATTCGATAATCAAACGCTATAAGTTCGTTTTGTTAAAATTAAGAAATAATTATTACAGCATATAGTACATAGGTTTATCACACTCTATATTCACATATATTGGGATATAATAACATACTTAATATAGCGGAATCCCGTTGATATTTAATTTTAAGAAGAACATATAGTGTTGTTGCTTTAATAATTGTGAGCGTTTTGTTCGAGTAATTTTTCAAGTAATATTATTTTATGTAGTTATTAATGACATGTTCCTTATTTGAGTTGTTTCACTTTTATATATATTTTTGACTTTTATGTAATAAGTACAATTGTGACTTACTTGTTACAGAAATATTATAAACATTTTGATTAAGTGTTATACAACGTTACTCAAACAAGTATTTATTAATTATTCAAACATATTAAATATTCGAACAAAATGCTCTTTCGGTTATTACGTGTAACCATTATAATTGTGTTATAGAAGACGTCGGCTATGGAACGTAGATAGTATGTTCTTATGAGGCCACATCAGATTTCGTAGAATTATGCTCAACTATGTATAATAAAATTAACAAAATTTCAACTAAAAGACTGATATTTCGGGGCCATTTCGATCCAAATTAAAAACATTTTAGAAAGATGCATAATTACAAATAGTCGGTAGTTGAACGTTGGTTATTAATTGGCATTGAAAAAACTCTCCGGGTTGACTATCTGCAACAAGGAGATTGCTTCGCTTTTCTACTGTAGCCCCTTTATTACATAAGAATGAATATATGAATGTAAAAATAAGATACTACTTTTGTGCTATCAACTGCAACATGTTAACGAACTGATAAATCAGTTACACATTTTAGTCTAATTTCAGTTGGCAATATGCTAACTGTTATTCTGCCGGACCTAAGTTTATATTTGTGGTTGTGATGTCGATTTAATATCCATGAAACGATAGAAGTGACGAGTTAATTACATGAAAGTACAGAAGCGATAGGACAAATGAAACATTAGCTTTAATTACCATGAATTGTCAGTTATTGATACTGTGTGATGAGTTCAAGTGTATAATTGATTTATTGTACATCTTTAGAAAACATCGTGAACTCTGGTCTTTTAATATATGTCCTTTAAAACTTCTATATTTTAGAAATGTACATACAACGATAAGGTTCAAATTGTAGAATACTACGTTTTCCTTCGTAGAGATTTCTACCAATCTGTTCTTAAGAATTTCTTAAGTTTTTCGTCTATTATGTGAGTTTCTTCTAACTTCAGTGTTGTCTAGCTTCACTTTTTTTTTTATTTTGCAGTCAGTTTGACAATCTGAGATTGATTGCATACATAGTTGTTATACATACATAGATATTGTTCGCATACGTAGTGTTGAATATGTACTTAACTAAGGTATAATATATTTTATAATAAATTTTTTGAAAAATTTATGGTGACTTTGTTAATAAACGAAAAATAGAACATATTTTAGATATTATTTTAGATAATGAAATTTATAAAATTGAGTATAATGTAAAGAACATTTATTTTGTGTGAAACAAATAATATGTAATTTAGTATTACATATGTTTTTTTTGTGTTTATTAAGATCATATTTATTTTGACTATTTCTTTAATGAATAAAATATTTTTTTAAGAAAATAAAGGTGATGGAAGGAATAAGTATATAAACAAAAAATGAACAAAAACATAATAAGGGTTACAATGCAAAAACAATGTAATGATAGAATAAATATGTATATTATAATATTGATGTTCACAAAATTTGACTTTTATTTATAAACATGTAATAATACATATTATTTATAGACCTAGAAACATTATAAATTACAATACAATTTATAAACTATATTTCATTTTCCAATTATTCGATCAATTATAATAAGTCAAAAAATTAGCTTTTTTATATTAAAATCATTACAGATTCTTTTATATGATCTATTTAAAATTTGCAAAATAATTAGTTATATTCGGACTGTTTGATAGTCTTTACATAAATATTATGTTATGTGTAATCTAAATCTAGTCCAATATATACAATTCAAAATCCCGCCGCAAACTGGCCGACATCCACGTGCGTTTGTACAGCCAGAGACTCCATTCATTGAATGAATCCTATAAATAGAAGCCTATATGGTATCAAAGTAAGCCATCAAATATGCCAAAAACATTCAGCAAGACGTATTTTTGGATTATATGCATTAAAAATTATTAAATTGCAATAAAAAAGGCAATAACTTTATGTTCATTAAATCGAAGTGCAGCCCATATTATTTCTCTATTGATATTGATATATATAATTGCCAATCATATACATCTGTAGTTTGGAATGATATAGGAACAATTTATATTCCTATATTACGTAACCAGCACGCAAGGTCACGTTACAAATGCGTGAATGTCAATGATAGTACTGGTAGGGTGATAGACATGCTCTGTTTAAGATCATCTTTTTAGTTACCGCAGTTAATTGCTAAAGAGTGTACTTTGTGTGAATAGTAGACCTAGCTTCATTTCAGTTTGAAAAGTCGTATCTGCAGGTCAAGCAAAATGACGACAAAACGTTATATATTGTCATTATCAAGTGCAGAATTTAAAAATTTCATAGACTCCATTGATGTAGTTTTATCAGACTGTGATGGTGAGTGACTACTTAGTGCAAAATAATTTCTATAAAAAATTGTTGAAAATAAATATGCGTACTTTATGTTATTTTTATATCATATTTTTGATATTGGAGTATTTAATAATTGTAAGATAATAATAGACAAATACTTCAATGTACAATGTCATAAATGGTATTTTAATCTCAGTAAACCTTAGGCGTCCTATGGAAGGAAACCCAAGTAATAAAGAATTCACCTGAAACTGTAAATAAGTTTAAAGAATTAGGTAAAAAGTTTTTTTACATAACAAATAGTAATACTAAAACCAGGTCTGAATTTGTGGACAAGTGTAAAAATCTTAAGTATGATGCAACAATAGTAAGTAAAATATATGATGTAATGTTTTGGATTAAATAATATGCATTTATTGTTTAAAATGTTATTTTAAATTTTTCTTCAGGATGAAATAGTATGTTCTTCATTTTTGGCTGCTATGTATCTTAAGGAAAAAAGATTTAATAAAAAAGCATACGTAGTTGGGAGTGATGGTATTACCAAGGAATTGGAAGCTGAAGGTATCAAACATTTTGGTGTCGGAGTAAGTCTTTTTAAACAAAAGATATATAATTGTCTTCAATTCAGCTCAAATTAACAATATGAAATTTGTTTTGTTATTATAGCCAGATGTAATGGAAGGTGATGAAGTAGAAATGATAGAAAACTTTAAACCAGACCCAGAAGTTGGAGCAGTTATTGTAGGCTTTGATAAACACTTTAGTTTTCCTAAGCTTGTGAAAGCTGCCACTTATTTACGAGATCCAAATGTTCATTTTATAGGGACAAATTGTGATGTAGAAAGACCATCGCCAAATACTAATAAATTCCCAGGTTGCAAAATTATTTATTATGCTACACTATTAATATATTTATTTCAAATATTTTTAAAAATTTTGAAGTATAAATTTTAATTATATAGGAACTGGATGCTTCATAAAGATTATAGAAATGGCATCCAATAGATCAGCAGTGATGCTTGGAAAACCAGAATCATTTTTGAGCGAATATATTATAAAGAAATATGGTTTAAATCCTCAAAGAACACTTATGATTGGTGACAAGTAAATATTATTCATAGTCATAACACTATGCAGTAGTATTTTATTATTGGTATGTTTAAAACATAATTATTCTATTTCAGTTGTAATACTGACATTCTTCTTGGGAAACGTTGTGGGTTTAAAACTCTTCTTGTATTAACGGGTATTACAACACAAAATGACGTAGATGCCATGAACGCTTCTACTACAAGTTCTAAAGATTTGATAATTCCAGACTATTATGCAAATGAGTTAGGTGATGTACTAAAAATGATTGCATCATCTTGATAATTTGGTAATATATAATTATTTCATTCTCATTTATATTTTTTGGTCTTTCTAATTGTTTGGATTACTAATATAATTATTTATTTATTATGACATATGCATGAAATATTTTTCAATGTTCCTCCATATATATATATATATTTTTTTTTGTCTAATTAAAGATGTTTTATTATATAAAAATTGTTTAGTTACATGTACAATACATAATTGTTATTTAGCTAATATAGAAATTTGCATATAAAAATATACAGTGTTATAGTGTTATATGTAACATGTTCAATTTTAGCTAAAATAGTATCTTAAATAATATTAAAAATGATTAGTGTTCCAATTCAAATACAAAATGACAGTACAAATATGTAAAAATATGTAAAATTACTGTATTAATTTTGGGTATTTTTTATTAATATTACCTTTTGATAAATGTTCTTCAGAGAAACTGAAAGAAAAGATTTGCCAAAAAGTTATATCTATATGATAGTCTGTGGTTACTGATAGAATTAGCATTTTGTATTTACTTGTATGCCTAAATATTTTTATAACGTTTAAAATATTGCATGCCTGGTGCATACAGCGAGAATTAGGTAAAATATATGTATGGATCTATGTTTAACTCAGCAATGAAGTTATAGTTTACATATATTACATATATATGTTAAATTATATGTATGTGTGTATATAGTAACAATAAATGTTAAAAGCATATATAATGTTTATGTTATATATTTTTTATGTATTATATATTTATATTAAAGTACTTCTTAATATTATGGTTACTTTAAATAAGACATAAAAGAGTTTATTGATTTTATTAATTTCCGAACTTAGAAGCATCAATGGATCTTAAGCTTTTAATTTATATTTTTATATTTTTTCTATCAAAAAGTATTGCAATATTTGTTCATATTTTTTAAAAATCAATCTTATCAGAAAAATAATCTATATATAACAAATATTAACATCTAATATTTAATAATTATGTCGTTCAATATATGGAGTAAATCTCTTGTAATATGAGTAATAGACAATATCTCAGGGATTGATTCAGCATCTGAAAAAAGTTCATATAAATATATGTCTGTTTGACCTTATTTACAAGCTATAGCAAATTTTATGTTGTAATAATCAATAAAAGAAGTTATCAGAATAATTTAAATAAAAGAAATGTAAATTCCTGAACTGTAATATCCTGAAACAGTGTCATTCTCAACTAAAAATATTCTTGTTCATTATGAAGATTATAAAATATCTCAAATAGAAGGAGCACATTTTAAAAATAATACGGTTTAATGTGTTTTCGAAACTTGAAAAACATGAATTCGTAGACGATTGCTATCTTGTAGAGGCATTATGATAAAGAGAAATTAATACATACATATGTAGTATATACGTATAGTGCGTATTGCGATACTACATACTAGTCTCTCAATAAATATATTACAGAGGCTTATCGTAAAGTAAGTACGATATTAGCGAAAGTTGAAGTGATTGAATGTGCCAGAAATCTTTGTGATAAATTGGCAATAAAGTGATAAATAACGAAGATGGATAGGACACCTGTTGCTTTGTAAAAGGAAACACGTATGAGATTTCGTCAAACGATAATGTTTGCATATTTTGAATGTGCCGAAATGCATCATTCACCTTATGCTTAAAAATGAAAGTTATATAATTATATATATGTATACACATGTTTTATTATTGTATGCAGGATATTTGAAATTGAGATATATTATGGTCACAAAATTCAAGGTGCATGTAATAACGAAATTGGAAATTGGGAAGTACGAATATTTCTGCTACAGGGAAATTTTTTATTTATTTCTTATTTACTTCTTTTCCTGTTTTTATTTGTAACTTCTCTTTTATTTACTAGAAACAATATAGATTTTTAATGTCAGCATTAATGATACAACATGCGTGCTAATCGAATGGCGTGAATACTGTTCATTTTGAAAATTTTGGACAGCAGAATATGTTTATAAAAGCTAGTACAACTGTAGTATAATAACAAACTTATCATCATTACGGCGTTTTGCATTTCATTATATCAGTCAAACGAAAGTTATCGTAAATATGAATTGTTTGAGATAAATATTGCATAAAATATGATGAAAGATAAGAAAGTATTATATATAATTTGTTATCAGTAAAGAAATATTTGTTTTGTGTCAAAAAGGAAAAACAATTAACTGAAGCACATACTATCAATAAAAAATACAAATTTCTTAAATATTAAGAAACAGAACAATTTAAAGAAGTATTTAAAAATATTTACAAAACATGAAACAGTAATACTATGATCTGGAAACTAAATAAACGATATTTTGTTGTTTTTTTTACAAATTTGTTATAAGAAATGAAAGAATTCTATTGTATTTGTATTATATTTCTCATTATTTAATAGTATTTTCATAGAGGACATGTATTATGTATACCTCACTATACTCCATATGTTGAAAAATACTATATATCTTTATTTTATTGTAGCAGGCTATATTGTATGTACATATTTTGTGTATATATGTTACAATAAATAACAACGGACTGTTTTTAAAATTGATTTTTATTGTCGCACCTAATACGCAATTACCATTGAATATTTCTATCATTTCACTCACTAAACGTTCCTCTAATGATTAAAATTTATTCCGTACGTTTCACCGATATTTTATTATTAGATCAGACTGGCACAATTTTTTTTCTGCAATTGATGCAACTTACATTTAAGTAGGAATTTCAAACAATTTTTATATATTTGTCCTAAACTTTATCGCATCATTTACATTTGAAATCTTTTTTTCACACATGCACGGAAGGTGAGAATTAATTTATTCTCTGAAACAGATTGAATGTTACAGATATCGCGACATTATAAAATTTCGTTTTATTAACAATTAAGAAAGAAGAAAAGTCGATAATTGAGAAAAAATAGGAAAAGGTTTTATCTTTTCATTGTTCACGTATTTTGTATAGTCTAACGAGGGAGGTATTAAAGCTAAATTTTCTTTTCAGTAGACTAACTTGAACACTGTGTTTTCGAGGAATGAAAACCATAAATACTAACTATTGTATGGCACGTTAACGGTCAAAAATATGAAACGACGATTTTAATTTGTTACCATTTATGACTGTTAGACAAAGGTCGAACCTATAATAATCAGTCGTTATCTGTAATGGAAATGATGAGTACAATTTAGTACTGTACCGGCTATCTCGTTCTAGCATGGTCATACAATCATTTGTTGACCCAATTGCTTGTTTCAAGAGTGGAGGAAGTAATTTCTGTGATTGTGATTGACAGAAATAGATTGGTGTTTTCCAATACATTTATCACTATTTAGAATGATTAATTGGTACGGATAAGGGATTTTTTATATCCGTGTTATATTCTTGTGCTATAATTTAACACTTAGGAGATTGAACATAATATTTCATATATATATATATCTCATTTTAACGCAGATAATTTTCCCATTTTTGTCAAGAATAATGAATAATGTTATTTGCCAACAAAAAATATGCTTATTAACCCTTAAACTTGTAAGTCGTTAATTATAAAAAGATATTTTTACATCTGATTGTTATTGTAAAGAGATATTTCTACATATATCATTCTATATTGAATCGTGAACATAACGTTTATTGTCATAAAATAGTAATAATAATATATACTGTTTACTGCCTAATAATGATACTGTTTAAATTATAAATTCGTCTACTATATTTAAAGTGTTAAACACAAAAAACCTATTATAGTTCGTTTTTTAAGAGTTACGATATGAATCACTATTTAACAAGATATAAAATTTAAACAATAATTATTTCTTAAACCGATTTAAACAATATTTATCTCTTCAGTTTCTCCGCATACATTACAAACTCACATTTTAAGCTTTACTAAATATTTATATAGCGTTTCATAAAGTTTCCTAGTCTGGTCTCATATCTTCGTCCGTATTGTTGGTGTCGATTATTTATCAGTAGCATCGTTCACAAGGTTAATCGTATTGAACAACAATTGCGAAGAATGCAGAATTTCGAATGAAATATGTATCATTGTACTAATTGTAAAGGAAATTGGAAAATGTCACAACTTTTTAATGTTTCGTATACAAACTTATAAAATATATCTTTACAATATAGAAATTAGATCGTTTATATCCAAACATACATCTTCTTGCTGTTTCAGACTTTTAAAAAAATTCTGCCATACTTATTAACATCTTTGTTATATTATCTAATTAATCACTTGTTAAGTCAAATATTAGGATCTCCTCTTGAAATATTCGCAATTCTTTTCGAAAAGATTCCAGGGTGAAATTTTACTTTGATCGCAAGTTAAGCAATAATTAAAACTTTTTTTAAACAATAGTTAGAAACTTCTCCTACAGAGAGTTAAAAATACAAATGCAAATGTTTCTAATACTCATAATATTCATGCATCCTTGTCCCCTTTTATGTAATACGATTGAACTTACGAACGATAACGTAATATTCGTTCATACGCTCGTCCATATCTCTCATTGTCCTCGTAAATCGCCCGCCGGCCAACAATTTTTATTAAGTGATCGCTTAAAGTAATATCGTAGATTGGTCGACATCTCCTTCTCCGTTGAGTAATCTCGTGGAGAACATTCGTACACTTGTTTTCCCTTGGTTGTCCCGTTTAGCGACCGATTTCACGTGCCGTTCGAATCCACGTTGTAGTAATTGATACGCTCGCTTCTCGACAGATACGCGCACCAGTAGAACACGTTGATAGCCAGGAAGAACACGGGGAACACGATGCGGCTGGCACGATCGATTTTCGATACGGAATTGTATCTAGGCGTTCTTCTGCGTCGCCTTCGACCGGATCCCTCTTTTCTGCTCGGAGGAGCTTGACGAGGGGGCGGGCTGCAGGTCACGCAGGACATCTGCCAGTGGCCCACTGTAGGATTTCTGCTGGGTTCTGGGATCGCTGATAACGGTATCACTTCGATCATACCGTCCTCATTCATCGTAAAATTTCGACTTGACTGCCCTCGTGCCGTTAGGTTTCCAGCGGTTCTTTTGTGCGATTGGAGTACCTGAAATAAGTAGCAGTAGATATTTATCGTGCGTTTCAATGCTTTCGCATACAATATATAGTCTAATAATATTCCGACGGGATAGGTGAAATGATAAACGTCCCTTAAATTAAACGAGAATTAAAACGAAAAAAACGAGAGGCGCGGAGGAAAATATTGTCTCTCGAAATTCATCTGGAACTTGCAAATATTTTCGTTGGATTGTTTTTGTTGTTTTCTGCTAGTTTTATCGATCCAGAATATTCGAAGTAATATTTTATTTTATATTTATTATTTTTTATTGGTATTTATTGTTTTATTTCACCATCCATTCGTTACATGTGTCTGTGGATATGTTTTTTAGTTTACGCTGTTTCTGGTCGCATAATTGACGGATAAATGAAAGCTGTTTCCGGCTTGCAAGCTCGCATAGGAACCATATATTTGAGGTAGCATAAAAATAATATCAATACATTAACGACTATTGACGTAATATCGCGTCTCTCCAAGGCGAAAACATGTCCAAGTATAAGCTAGTCGTGCCAAGCTGATTATGAATATCTACAAGGAAAAAAGGATTTCTTGTGTTTAGTTTAATTGATAATAATAACCGATGTATGTGTTCTTGCAAGTGTTCTTTTATGCTTCAATTCTGTTTTGTACATGGAAACGTTAAAAATGATCGAATTATCTTCGTTTCAAACGAATGACCGCACTTTTGGAAGTATATTTTCTCAAAGCTTCTTTTATCCACCAAATGGAACTTATTCGATGAATTAACGCGTTGGTCATGCATGTAAATGTATTTCAAATCGAAGGTAATTTTATTTCGATGCGAATAACTTTTCTTTTTCTTCTATTAAGGCTTTTCATTGCAGTAACCTACATACAACTTTAGGAATCCAATTATTTCTTGGATTGGATTAAAGTAACTTTAAATCAACATTTATATTCCCTTTATACTTCATGTTCTTTACTGTTATATGGAGATCGAATGATATATACGTATACTCTTCCTCTTATGTAAATCAAAGTATCATGGTCCAGGTACTTTATTTTGTTTCTTTATATGCAATTCGTTTCCATAATGAAGAATATGATGACCTATTAAAGTCTTTTATTTTGTTGGTGCATTTATAATAAATTCAGTCTTTCCAAAAATATACGCAGCGTTAAGAAAAATAAGTTAAGTCTCTAAAGGTTTACATTCGCTAACAAGGGAAGTTTCTCATTTGACCCTCACCGATTTCAATAAAAGCTCTCATCCGTTTCTTTTTCACGAGTGTTGTACTACCTTACTGTAGAAAAAAAAGAAGAGCGATAAATGCAAAACGTGTAAAACAAGTTTCTTTGTATCTTTCAATACTTGTGGATATTTCGTAACATAGATTTTGTTTATTAATGTTCGCTATCAAGTTTTCGTAGAAGCATGTGTCTAATATTGGAGGGGACGTAAGAAAGCGTCTATGATGGATTATCACGCTGGCAGAGCGACGATTTCGATCTTTATAACCGGAACTCAGAAATCGGGTTTGCCGATTTCAATATGGAACAATGCCAAAATAACGGAGATTTGCATGATCTCTTATAAAGTATGAATATTGAACGATCTTGCACGTATTCGTGAAATATAAGCGAGAGATTTATCATTGTTATTGGAATTTGGGAGTATTTTTGTTCCATTTCCATTTTAAATACCAGTGATTTATCGTAGTCGCTACTTATTAATCAAAACTTTAACACTTGAATAATTGAATATAGGTTGTGCCAATCTCAATATCGATATCTGTTTTTTCTGATTTAGGTATTGAAAGAACGCTACGCACAGAATAAGATTATTTTTATTCTCTGCGTAGAAGATAATATAATTTCTATACTTCCACGTTATAAATGTTCGTTATTACGAAATAATTAAATAACCGTAGAGGCAAATGGTTTAACACAAATTCGATGCAATTAGATTAATTTACAATGGACAAATTTGTGAAAACAGATTTAAATATGTTTGACGGGTGATAATGGTTATTATAAAAGTTGATAAACTTTTCGTTCGTTCGATCGTTTTCATTGAAGTAATAAAATATCAAATGCATGCAAATTACCGGTTCTTTCTGCAATTGTCGTGTATTTGCCTCCTCCTCGTCGCTGGAACTCTCACTTTCGCTTAAATCGGAGCTGAAATAACACTCGCCGGAACCGTACTTGGTGAAATAATGCACCACCGCGAATTGTATAATGGTGGCAAAAATGAAAGCGAACGAAAGGAAAACGAAGAAGTCCAGGGCAGTGGGGTAAGGAACTTTAGGCAAATCTGTCCGCGCCTCTAATCCCAGAAATGTCATCGTTAATACGGTTGTTATACCTTTAAACAAATATGAAAGGACTTTTATTTATATTTCATTCGATTGTCAAGTTATCAAAGAATATACGTATTCGGGTTCAAAATATAATTTTTAAAATGGCTCGAAACCAACGCAGTCGTTATTGTTTATATAATTGAGATAAAACAACGAATGTATTATATCTGTCGCAGTGCTCTATCGATTATCCTCACAGTTTGTTTTATCATTCATTTGAACAACAGATAGGTTGCAAACAATCGAAGTATGATTTTATCCAATTCCCAATGATAAAATGTTTTGGCAGATATGTTTTTTTGTGAATTTAATAAAGAAAAATCTAATTATTAGAAGAAGACAGAAGAAAAACTATTATACATCGTTTTACAAATAAGATGAAGTCATTATATGATTTAATAAATAGGCGGATAGAAATTCCTTTTCCCGAATAAAATCAATATAAAACTATCTGAAATTTCCAATCGACGTAACAAGTTAAATATCCGGTAAAAGTATTGCTATAATTATATACTTCTGGTATTATTTCTACCACGCGATTAACCTTTGTTGTCATTTAAAAAATCTGATTTATTTTTATTTACTTGCTTCTAGCGTACGTGTATCTTTGAAACATGGCCTAGCTATGAACTTACCCAGTGATACACGATCTGCAGTGGCTTCTCGATTTAACCAGAAGGAGACCCAAGATAGGACCACGAGTAAAACACAGGGCCCGTATACTTGTATAAGAAAATTACCCATGTGCCTCTGCAGATGAAAATATACTAGCAGCATCGAATATTCCGCTGTAATCAGATAATATATTCAATACGTAACACAGAAAAATTTATTATTTATTTACTATTAGGTTGTCCGAAAAATTTCTTTCGTTTCATAAAGTGATAATAGATGAACAACAATTTCTGTTTTATATTATTTTATTGAATTAGGTGTGATCCATTTCGTTCTATTTCTATTATTATGTTAGTGCATAATTTAATAAACTAATATAAAACAAAAAACATTGTGCGTCTATTATCTCTTTATAAAACGAAAGAAACTTTTCGGACAACTTAATATATTTCTTTATTCATGAATTTATTTCAAGGTATACATAGCGCGTAATTAGCGATTACATGTTTACAAGATTAATGATACACGGTTACATGGAATTGAATATGTTTAACTATTTAAAAAAGTCTCGAACGCGTTATGAATGCTTTGAGAAACATTCGTGTTTAGACGTTCGTATCGGCTTTAATGTTGCAACTGTTTCTTTCAGGTGAAAATCTAGGGCAGTCCGATAAACTGTACTGTATGGTTATAGGTGAGCCACAAGATTGGCATTCAGGAGATGATTGTTTTGTTAACAACTACTCGTGCGTAAGTCTGGAATGGTCGGTGCGAATGCGGGTGAGGGCGGCTTAGTTCTGATTAGTGCTGAGACGTTGGGTATCTCTTGCACGCTAGATCGTACTGTGCGAAGTTTTGTATGGGGGTTGTTGAGCCATAAACAGTCCTAAAATTTTAGAAGCGGAAGTTAGGCCTGATTTTTCTTCACGGTAAATAAGTTTTGATGCCCTCTTGATTTCTATATGACTGGGAATCTATATCAATTTGATGCTATACTGTTTATTTCAATGATCGAATGGATTTTTAAATATTTATGACGCTACGTGTTAAGGCGTTTTCGATGGCTTGAGTTTCGCAGGATAAAGAAGAGAAGGAATAATCTGTGTGTAGAAGTAAAATCGTTTCTAACAAATATTTATTATATTACCCTTAATATTTCGTTACAATATAATGGTAAATATGTAGAACCTAATCTGTCCTCTGTTCCTTGTTATACTATAATTCACATTTGTAATCTATCTTTTTTTATGTTTCGAATGAAAAAAAGAGAAAGAGGATTACAATTTTACTCATGAAACTAATAAATCGAGTTAATTCAATATTCCACGATCCTTTTCGTTCGGTCCACCTTCACCTATTGTTCGATATGTATATAATATTTATCTTTCACTCGTTTCAATTTTCATCTGTAGTTGAGTTCCACATCGAATATCAACAAGGTTCGACCGGAATCGAAATCAAACAGGGTCGCGATCATTAGTTTCTTCGGTTACGCACAAACCATATCCTAGCGTCCAACGTAGCAGCTAGTCGCTCTGTTTGCCTGCACTTTTTCCTCGATAACGAGTACAATGTACAAGGAACAAATGGCATCTGTTTCGATTTGTCCAACGCAAACAGAAATGATACCATGCATACACGTGAATGTTTGCGCCACGTTCACGGACCCTTAAAAAATTTTTACTACCCTATTGATGCAATCACAGTGACGACGCGACGATTGTTTGTGGAGTATTAATCGATGCTAATCCAATTAAAAGTGGAAGTCGTTGCGAGTCGGCGTCTCCCTTCTCGTTATCAGTCGATGGAAATACAAGAGGGACGAGAGTTTTCTGCAGGAGGATGCTGCAATTAGTCGTCGTTTCTTCCGTTGCCAACTTTCAACGTGGAACCTCTTTTTTTCATCCTCCTTCTCCTGTTTCATCCCCTATCCTCTTCCATTGCTTCTCCTCCATCTTTTCCTTTTTCTTTACGTCGTCGTTTTCTCGCACCACTTGTCGGTCCGCTCGAATCCCACCCACTTCCGGGCTGATTCATTCGTACCTTCGATATTCCTATAGAATCCGTAAGCGTGGCCCGATAAAAGTTTCCAATCGAGATCCTTTGCAGTCGTTAAGAGACAATTCCTTCCTCTCGTTTCTCTAATTCGAACAAGCCTTAGCCACCGACATTCTTCGATGACTCTTATCGTGGCTATACGTTTCTCTTTCGATTATACTTCCGTCGTCTATCTTTTCCTTCCTCGGTTTGATCCTTGATACATCGTGTCGTCGATAAGGATTTTTCGCTGAAATCTATTCTTAAATGGAGTTTCCTTTTACGGGTTATCGCCTGGCGTACAAGTACGGTTCTTTAGGTAGACAATTCTGAAAATATTTTGAAAGACGAGAAAGGACAGGTCGAAGATGAATGTTGAAGTATTACGGATAGATTATTGTCTGGTATACGAGTATTATTATGTCGTATGAAGCGTGATTTCTGAGGGAGGCGACTTGGAAAATATTTTTAAAGATGGGGAAGGATAGATCGGAGGTGAAAGCTGAAAGTATTATGGGTAGCTTATTGTGTGGAATACAAATGGTTGTCGTGTTATACGAAGTACGATTTTCGAGGGGGTCAATTTTGAAAGTATTTTTCAAAATGAGAATGGATAGATCGAAAGTTGAGGTATTAAAGATATTCAAACTATGAAACGGAGATTGTTCGACCGTTCGCGGAGAGATGTGTTCGCGATAGATAGCGTCAATGGAAATCGTAAATTTTCGTTACGATTAGTTAATTTTACAAAGGAGTTTATTGAGCCCAGAAAATACAGAGTGCGTTATTCACAATAAACATGAATTTTTGTAATGGTATATTAGGCATACCGATACACGGCGGTACAACGTAGCCATTCTGTATTATGTGTCGGCGCTTTACATTTTTTGTTGTATGATGCGGTTTTTGGGTTTAAGCCTCTGGGGAGCGGAGCTTTTTTTTTTATTTTTTTTTCTGTCTTGAAAAAACTTGGTCGTAAAACAGGACGTTTTCGTTACGATTAGTTAATCGACGCCACGAAATGATCGATCCCTATTTCGTTTAGGACAATAGAGATGGTTGAACTGATTATAACACTGAGGTAAAAGGTTACAATATACACTTTATTCCAATAACTTCTTGGAAATAACATTCAATATTCCAGTTGATATGTTGACAGACAGAATACAAGTTAAGACAAAATACAGTGAGTACAGTGACGGATCAGAGAACAAACAGAAAACTAACTAAAAACTCCTGTTCTGTGGAGGTATTTATACTGAACCGGGGAAGGTTATTTACGAGTGAAAACTCTAGGAAAAAATGGGAAAACCCACGTTTCCCTATTTGCCTTTGGATTATTGCAGTCCGACCTGTGATGTTTGCACCGCTAGTGGCCATCCCGACCGAGAGACGGAATTCAGCCCGTACCAGATAACGGGACGTAACATCCTCTCCCCGTTGAGAGGCTACCGATTGTGAATATAGAGTTAATTACATCTTCCACCAAACTCCCTCTCGATTGATTCTGCTGGATCGGATTGGCTCGGTAGGGGGACGAAACGTTTGACACCTCAATCCAAGATGCTGGTTGCCGTCTTAACCGTGGCCGTCCGGATGATGTCGTCGGCGTCTAGATGAACCTTGATTTTATTATTTATTTATTTGAATTTTACAATTTGTCCAGTAGGACATTTGGTAAAATATTATAGCGGTATACTAGTATAACATGTGGGTGGCTACCCCCAGCGGGGTACCATCATCGTGTTTGTTAGGTTATGTCCTTGTGAGATCTGTTGGGTGTTTCCTTTTTAATCTTCTTTTTATGCTTGATGTGTCGACCGTTTCCGCTGCCAGCCAGTTTGGGTGCGTTGCTATTCTTTCTCTGTACCTTCTTGCACTTCTGTTAATCTCCTCCTTGACCGTTGGTATCCCCAGGTCTTTTCGAATATCCTCGTTTCTAACGTACGATTTCATTGACGAGTCTGTGCGTTTGTTCTATTGTGGAGTGTTTGTTTTAAATCCGAATTGGTGATCCGGTATTGATTCTTCTCTATTATGGGTTTTATCCGGTCGTAAATTATTTTCTCTAGTATCTTAGAGAACACCGGAAGTAGTGAGATTGGTCGGTAGGACTTGGTTTCGTGTGGATCCTTGCCTGGTTTGGGTATCATTATGATTTGTGCCAGTTTCCAAGTTTTTGCAAAGTATTGTTTCTTAGTATTGCGTTAACTATTATTGTGATTTGTCTTATCGCTTTTGGCGGAAGGTTTTTCAAGATTTTGCCGTTAATTAGGTCGATTCCTGGTGCTTTATTATTTTTTGTTTTCTCAATTATGTTTCTGATTTCTTGTGCTGTTGCTTTGGGTATGACGTAGTGATTGTCAGTTGATATACTAGTAGTTAGCGCATCCTCGTCCGTATGACTATTGTGGTTGCTGTTGTTGATGTTATGTGGGGTGAATGTGTTGCATAGGTGGTTGGAAAATTCTTCAGCTTGCTCTTTGTTGCTTCTTGCCCATGTGTTGTCTGCTCTTCTGATTGCTGGTACCATTTTTATTGTCTTCTTTATTTTTTTTGTGGCTTTCCATAGGGAGTAGTTGTAGTTCTCGTGAGCAGATAGTGACTCGATGTACTTTGTGAACTCGTTGTTGTTGTGCTCTTTTATTTTGTTTTTTATTTCTTTTGTGAGTTTGATTAGGTGTTTTTTGTTTTCTCTTGTTCTGTGTTTTTGCCATTTTGCTTTCGCTTTTCTTTTTTCTCTAATTTTTTCGAGGATGTCTAGTGGAACTGTTTTTGTTTGTCTGTTGGTTGTTTCAGGTATAGTGGTTTCCCTTGCTGCTTCTTGGATAGTTTCTGTGAGTGTTGTTACTGCTTGATCGATGTGTTCTGGTGTTTTCAGTGGGATGTTGCAGCTGATTTTGCTCTCTATTATTTCTTTGAATATTTGCCATTTG